TAATTCTACAAATTAGTGTGTTCCAGCATAATGTTCAGATATGGCAAATTCTTAGAACTATTCTAATTTCAGTTGTGAGATAGTCATTCCTTCAAAATAAATGAGTTAAAAGAATTTCCAAGAAGAATTTATATTTAAAATTCCTTAAGCTTGAAAAAAACATTTTATATATTGAAGAGGAATAATGGTTAAATTATAATGTAATCTACTCAATCTTATATTGTTTATTATCTGTCTATCAAAGAGTCTTTTTAATATGAAGATTTGTATTTGTCTAGAACAACTTATTAAGGAAGCAACAATTATTATTGTACCTAATATAGTAAAAATAGTTAAGTTAGTTCCCTTTAAAGTATCAATAGTATACCCATAAATAAGTTAAGATTAAGCCAGCATCGATATTTCAGTAAGGTTACCTTTCATATATGCTCGATTCATTATAAGCTAGGAAAAATATGAAGTGTCTCCAATCAGACCTAATATAGTTATTTCATAATAATTTGGAATTAACCATTATTAGCGCTGGAATTATAAATACAGCTACGCATGTCGCTATAATTGAAATAATAGAAAAATATTGTAGAATTACCAATTAATTTACCTAAATAAAATAAACAAATACTAATCTAGCCAATGAATTAATTAATACTTATATAATAGAAGAGAACATTGCGGCAAGTAAAAGTAATACTATTCCCTTTAATCATGTCTCTTATTAGTTAAGGCATTTTAATAATTCTAGACTGTCTTTAAGAATAATTTTTGTATTTAAATATGATCATTTAATAATTCTTTATTTAAATTATATTATCAAAAGTTGTCTATCAATTAGAGTTGTTGCTATATATTTTCATCTTTTATTTGATTTATCACTTTTCCAAAAAAAGTTTATCATAGTCACCTATGTCTAATTCTTAATACAAAATTTCACAAATTCCATTAAACAAAAAAGTTTCATTTTGTATTTTTGTGTTCTTTGAATCAATTTATAATGAGATTTCAATTTGTCATAAATTTATGTAAAAAACATACGCTTATGGATGAGTTCCCTTTTGATTGAAATAATTATAATTGCTTCAGTTTTTACTTTTTTTTAATATTACTATATTTATGAGAAATCAAAATTTACTTGTATTAATTTTAAATGAATGTATATTTGCCTTTTTTTATTCATTTGAATATTATTGCAGTTTCCTATTATGTAATTAAGTTTTATTTAATTAATACTCATCGACTTTCAATATGTAAATTAAAGAAGAAGGCTATGAATGAAATTAATTAAAATAATGTTTAAATCAAAAATGATAGAAAATGAGAAAGTATTGCAATATGCTTTGAACCACTAGCTGCCAATCGTTTAAGTCCTTCTTAATTCTTCAATACCCAAAGAGCAGAGACTATTGTGTACCGAATGCTTGGATAATGCAGATTTTGAAGGTAAAGTAATTGGTTTCAAAAAAATAATTCAAATGATAGAAGAATAATAAAATTAGAAAATGAATCTAATGGAAAGCATGATAATTTAGAATATTAAATAGGTTGAATCATTTCATAGTCTCATCAGTCAAATGAAATCAAATATAATCTTACAATTAGAATAATTAAGTTCAATTCTTAAAGATTGGATCACTAATCTGTAGTCTATAGGATTGAAATATTCACAATACAGTTTTCATGAAGAATTAGAGATCTAATCAAAAAAGTAATAATATCAAATTCAATCCAACTTCATTCATCAAAGACATTAGAACAGAATACAGTAATTATTCTAAGGTTGCATCTAAATTGGAGTAATTCAATTAATTTTAAGAATATAACAAATGCAGACAAATACTATCAGATCTTTAAATAGATATATAAAAATAAGGATAAGTTGAGAATCTTAATGACAATTCAATAAATAAAAAAAATTAATCTAAGAACTTTATTTAATTACAATAGGTACTGTTGGGATAGGAAGAATAGGGTTTATTCAACATATGAATTATTATATAAGTGAGAAAATTAAAAAATAAGTATTCTATATTAAAATATATTTATA